CACACACACACAGACTGCCTCATCTACTCCCTTTCACATCACATTCTATTTTATCCATTATATATTGATCATATACATTTAAATGTGTAAAATAGCCTATTTACAGTAACTACATAACTCCCTCATCATACGTGTGTACAACCCTCTACACATGCAGCCAATATGCATTTACTGTTTTGAGTTATTCTTTCTATCATGTTCTTTAATTCTTTGAGTGGTACATGTCAGTTTCACATACTCTACTGTATGATCACACATAAACATAAACATATCTGAGCACCTCAAAGGCCTGATGTATTATTGCAAAGTAAAGAAAAGAACAAACTCATTCAGGCATATGACAGCATTATCTTCTCATTTATTTAGCAGTCAACAAATGATGAAAACAATCTCTTAAAAAAAGAAATAAGCAATGAAATCAATAAATATATTTTAAAGTTTTAAAAACTATAAAACAATTTTCTCAATATATTGTTTGTACAAAATAAGAGTCAGAATACAGTGACAAAACAATGATTCTGTTTCAAACACAGAAAGCAACATGGAGTATCAGGACAAAGACACAAAGAACCAGAAAGAGTCTCTCTGATGTATCAGTTTCATAGACTGTTGTCATTTATTTATCATATGTCTGTATCAGCATACCAGCAGTTTAGGAACATCATAGTAGAGTTTCCTTTTAGAATATTGTAATGCAGCCAGTGAGCTATTTAGAGCAGCACTACAGTTATAAAGCATCAACAGGATATGATCTATGCTTGTGGATTTAAAATCACAGGGAGGTAAACTGGTCAACTGATCAGAAAAATCAAATTAACTAACTAAATAAATAAGTAAATAAAATAATAATAATAATGATTATAATATAAATGTGTTAAACATTTCCTGCTGCCACAACACCCGAATGAAGAATGGTGTTTAGACATGATGAGATGGAGTTAGATACAAATTTAGAAGAATAAAATTGACATTGGCAGACCCCACTGAATATCCACCTGCTTTGTTCAAGAGGACAAGAGACACGTTTGGGATGGAGAATGAGAATGTGTAATCATTGAAACTCCATATACACATGGCAGTATGTAGCACCCATGAGGAATTGTTTACTAAAATTGGTATGTGTCCAGGTTTTGCTACACTTGAGTCCCAAGCATTCCTTCTTTCTGAGGGTGAAATTATAAACATTGATTTGTTTGATGTAGTTAAAGTGCACAAGATAGTTTTGACTGAAGAACAAAACAGTGTTGGGTAACAGCTTAGATTGTCATCATGGTTCAGTCAGCAAAACTAAAGGAGTTTCACTCGCAGCAAATGGAACAAAGTGGAACAGAGTAGTTTTCAATACATGGACACACAACATAGAGCATGGACATACAAGCAGTAAGAAACAGACAGCATAAATTCAAAGTCAGTTTTCAAAAGAGAGATTTCTCTCTTGATTTCATTTCAGTGTCAGCACAGTGTATTCACCCTGAATTGTGGTGGAGTGTTGGGACTCCACTGCTGGCTGGCATGTACTGTAGGTAGTTATGTCTTAAGAAAACATTCTTTGATGATTCTGTGGCATTTATCCAGGAACCCAGCTCTGTTTGCTGTGGCTCTGTTGGGTACCCATAAATCCAAATCCCATGCCCATTCCTTGAGCCAGTGAGGAATCAAAATTGAAATCAATCTCTTCTCCTGAGTCCATAATGTCATGTAAGAGTATAGACTCCATGTCACAGTCTAGGCTGCTGTAGAATACATCCATATCCAGGTCTGCTGGCAGCCGCTCGTGTGGGTAGAACTGATGAGGGTGGTGATAGTTGTGGTAACCTGTCCCCGTCCCCTGAGGTTGGCGGTACAGTCCATATGCCATACTGTGCTGATATGGATCTGTGTAAATATAGGAATGGCATTGTGGGTATGGAGCTGTAGCAAGGTGGCAGGTGTCCTGTGAGATTCCCTGCATGCCTGCAGGGTTTGGGGGAAGCGTGGTGGATGCTGTAAGATGTACATTGACTGTGGGGCTATATAGGTAAGGGGCTTTATGTATGTACGACTGCATGTGTCCATCACTGGGCTGAGAGTAGACCGATGCAGGCTGATGGTCCTGGCTCAAATTCTGAATAATGCTCTGTCTGTGAAATGGTTTGGAGGAAGGGTTAGTGGTAGGGTCATTATTCTCACTGTGATGCAGATCTATGGATCCTTGAGCAACCA